AGGCCCAACCGCACCGCGCAGGCGCGGCCCCGCCCCCAGACGCGCAGGCGTAGCTGTGAGGAAACAGCGGCTTTATTGGTGATTGCGCGCGGGGGCGGGGCCAGCCGCCGTGGCCCCGCCCCACCCCGGCCCCGCCCCCTGGCGGCGCTCCGGTCACCGGCGCTTGTACAGACACGGCCGCAGGCGCAGCCCGGGAGCGGGGCCGGGCCGGGCCGGGCCCGTCTTGGTGAACTCCAACACGTAGAAATAGGAGCTGGAGAGGTCCTGGGGGCGCGGGGACACCCGGCTGTTACCGGCAGCCCGGAGCCCCCATCATCACCACAGCCCCGGAACCCCCCGCCCTCCGGCACCACTCAATGCCGCCTCAGAGAACCCCGGGTCCCCCCTGCCTCCTTCCAGACGCCCACGGTGCCCAGAGCCTGGCTCCAAAGCCCTTGTCCGGCTTGAGTGCCCCAGCCCCTAGCATACTCCTCTAAATGCACAACACACCCATCACCAAGCCCACACCACAATTCCTCCAGGCCCTGGGACCCCCAAGCCCCTCCTTCGCTACACGCCCACCTCCAGGCCCTGCACTACAGTCCCAGTGTGCAGCCCACCCAATCTGCATCCCAAACTGCCACAGCGTGTCCCCACAGTTCCCAGGACCTCCAAGCCTTCCCCCAGGACTCCACCCCTGTGCGTACACATCCCCCCGTTCTCCCATCTCCATGCACCAATTCCTCCCACCTCCATCTGCTTTCACAATCCCTGGCATGCTCCACACCAGGCTGGCCTCAGTACCCCCCTCCAGGGACCCCTTCCCTGGGCCCCCCGGTTCCTGGTGCTCCCAGTGCCCAGCCCTAGGCACACACCTTGGAGACGGTCTTGAAGCCCAGCTGCGTCATGGCCCTCAGGAAGGCACGGGTGTCCTCGAAGCGGCTGGCCACCTCGGCCACCAGCAGGGTCCCCCTGCGGTCACCGGAGCTCTGAGCAGGTGTCCGGGCACGGCCAGGACGCTGCTCAGCAGCCCTGCCCCAATCCCCCACTGCCCCAGCAGCTCTGCCTACCCGAGCTTGAGCACACGGTTGGCCTCCGCCAGGATCTCCTGCAGGTTGGTGCCCATCAGCGCCAGGCAGAACACGGCCACGTCCACCGCCTCAGCCGCCAGCGGCACCTGCCCACGCCGGGACAGCCCCGGGGGAGGAGGAGGATGACTGGGCCTGGAAGCCACCCTGCACACCCCCGGAGCAGGAGGATGGCGGTGTTGATGGGGCAGGGACACGGCCCGGACTGCCCAGGCTCGCGGGTTCAGCCGTGCCCCAGGCACAGACCCAGCTTTCGAGCAGGCACACCGGTGCTTCCCCCGCCCCACGGGACCCTCGGGGTCACGGTGCCCGTGCCCGCCCTCCCCGCCGCGGGGCTGCCCCGTACCTTGGCCATGTCACAGACGGTGACCCGCGGGTTCAGCGGCACCAGGTCGAAGCAGTGCACCTGGTTCTTGATGCTGGCGGCCAGCGTGCAGTCCCCGCAGCCGAAATCCGCCACCACCAGCGACGCGGGGCTGGGACAGGAACGGCGGGCTCAGAGCGGCCGGGACAGCGCCCTGGCCCCATCGCTCCCGGGCCCCCGGATCACTCCCGGTCCCCCGGATCGCTCCCGGTTCCCGATCGCTCCCGGTCCCCCGGATCACTCCCGGTTCCCCGATCACTCCCGGTCCCCCGATCACAGCCGGTCCCTCGGATCGCTCCCGGTTCCCGATCACTCCCGGTCCCCGATCACTCCTAGTCCCCGATCACTCCCGGGCTCCCCATCGCTCCCGGTTCCCCGATCACTCCCGGTTCCCGATCGCTCCCGGTTCCCCGATCACTGCCGGTCCCCCGGATCGCTCCCGGTTCCCCGATCAATCCCGGTTCCCGATCGCTCCCGGTCCCCGATCACTCCCGGTCCCCAATCACTCCCGGGCCCCACCGCTCCCCGGTTCTCCGTTCAGCCCCCGGCCCCGCTCCCGGTCCCCGGTCCATGTTGCAGCCAGGCCCCGCTCACCGGCGGCGCAGGTAGCGCACGATGCGCTGCACCGGGCGCTCGGGCCAGCGCCGCACCTGCCGCTCGAAGCCGCGGTGGTAGAGGTGGAAAGCGGCGGGGTCGTCGCGGAAGAGCCGCGCCGCGTCCCGGCTGCTGCCGGTGTAGAGCTGCTGGTTCAGGTAGCGGAACCGGGCGCCGAGCAGCCGCTCCTCCATCCGCGCACGGAGCGCGGCCGCGCGGCCCGAGCGCGGCTCCGGCGGAGCCTCGGCGGGGCCCGGCGGCTCCGGGGGGCCCGGCCCGGAGCCCCGCTCCCCGTCCGGTCCCGCCGATGGCTCCTGCTGCCGCAGCCGCTTCTGCCGGTTCCGCCGCTGCCGGCGGCTCAGTCCCGCCGGCTCCCCGCGCTCCTCCGCCGGCTCAGCCGCGCCGTCTGCGGGCATCGAGAGGGGGCCAGGGCGCGGAGGCGGCTCCCTCCTGCCGCCGGGCCCCGGGGCCGTCCCGGTACCTGTGTCCGGCCGCTGCCCAGCCTGCCGGGGCTCGTCGGGACCGGCCGGGAGCTCCCCCGCCGCGGCCCGCGGCCCGCCGGCCTTCTTCCGCTTCCGGGACCGCTTCCGCGCCGCCTCGCCGTCCCGAGCGGCCCCGGGCAGCCGCCTCTTCCCGGGGGTCCTGCGCACAGCGGGGCCCGGTAACGTCCCCGCGCCCGGGACCGGCCCGGCCCGCCGCCCCAGCTCCGCCCCCTTACCGGCCGGCCCGGGCCCTCCGGGGCAGCGGCTCCGCTGCATCGTCCCAGCCCTGCTCCGCGAACATGGAGCGGGGACCCTCGCTCGGTACCGGGACGCACGTGCTCCCGCCACGGGCACAGCCCCTCCTCGCGGCCCGGAGGACCGGGCGGGGCCGGGGGCTGCACGGACGGTGCCACGGGCGGCCCGCCCCGCCCCGGCCGGGAGCCGCGCCCCCGGTCACTCGGCACGCCCCGCACCCGCACCCCAGCCCGCCCGCCCGCGCTCCCCGCCCCGCCCCGCCGGTGCCGTGTGGCGGAGCAGCCGCCGGGGCGGGTTCCGGCCGGCAGAGGGCGCCCTCTCGGGCGGAGCCCCCGCCCGCCCCGCGCCCGCCGCAGCCGCCGCCCTGCGGAGCCGCCGGGACACGCACCCGGTAACGGCGGGACGGCACCCGCGCCCGGCGGGACAGGTTCGGGAGGCCGCGAGGGCGGCTGCGCGCCACCCAGGCGGGGGCAGGGCCGGACGGAGCCCGGACGGAGCCGGAGCCGGAGCCAGGGGCGGGGCGGGAGCTGCTGGGGAGCGGTGGGGGGCGCAGGGAAGGGATCGGGGTACCGGGGAGGGGTGAGTGGCGCAGGGAAGCGTTGGGGTGCACGGGAGACTTGGGGGTACAGGGAAGGGATCGGGGTACAGGACTAGGGGCACAGGGGAGGGTTGGGGGTACACCGGAGGGTTGGGGGTACACGGGAGAGTTGGGGGTGCAGGGAAGGATTGGGGTACAGGGAAGAGTTGGGGGTACAGGGGAGAGGTGGGGGCTGAAGGGGAGGCATTGGGGGTACAGGGGAGAGTTGGGGTGCAGGGAAGGGTTGGGGGTACATGGGAGGGTTGCGGGTGCAGGGGAGAGTTGGGGGTACAGGGAAGGGACTGGGCTATGTGGGTGGGTTGGGGGTGCAGGGAAGGGTTGGGGGTATAGGAGAGGGTTTGGGTACAGGGGAGAGTTGGGGGTACACGGGAGCATTGGGGGTACACGGGAGGGTTGGGGTACACGGGTGGGACCGATGTGGCCGCAGGCAGAGCAGGCCCCCAGCAGCTGGTTCGGGGTGACACCGGGCACTGTGTGTCCCCATGCCGTGCCCTGCCCCGGGCGCTGGGCAGGCCGAGGCGGGCATTGGCCACCCGGGCAGGGGCCGGTGGGTGACAGCAGGGCACAGTCCCGGCCGAGCTGGGGGCAGGGTGGGGCCAGCATGGGGTGTCATCGCTGCGGGGTGAGGTCCCACAGGGCCGGGACTAGTGCGGCATGTCCTGGGGACCCCTTTTCATGGGTGCCCCCAAATGGGCGGGGGATAAATCTCATCCGGGAGTGTGGGTGTTCTGGTGCCGGGACAGGGCCAGTGCTGCTGTGGCTGTGCTGGGGCCATGCTGGGGTGTACGAGACCCCGGCAAAAATCCGGGGTTCCGCGTCCCCCTCTCGGAGCTGCCTGGGGCGAGGGGTGCAGGCAGGGTCCTGGGGGACAGCTGGCGGTGCTGGCAGCTGGTGGGGGTCCCGCTGTGTCTGGGTGGGCAGCAGGCCCAGGGGATCCTCCAGCAGCAGGTTTGAGCCCCAGTGGGTGCATGTCAGGATGCCACATTCAATCTGACTGTCCCCACGCTGTGAGACACTGTGCGTCCCTGCTCAGCATCCCAGATCACTGGACAGCGGGTGCCACGCTCGCAGCCGGGGGCTTGGGGAGGTCACAGGGAGCAGGAGGGAGCTCAGTGCCTGGCTCTGAGCTGGGGTGTCCATGGATGTTCCATTCCCATGGGCTCCTCCATGCACGAGGCTTTGGGGTCTCTCTTTCTGAGCATGGCCCGTGCCAGGCCCAGCCAAGTGGGTCAGGAGGGTCGTGGGGCTGCAGGGTCCCATGCCAGGGATGCTGAGCTACCCCAGCCCCTTTCCCCCACCAGATCTGCAGGGTCCCATCTTGAGGGTGCTGAGCTCCCCAGCCTCACTGCCCCAGATCTGCGGGGTCCCGTTTTGAGAGTGTTGAGCTCCCCAGCCTCACTGCCCCAGAGCTGCGGGCACCGGGGCCGGCTGTGCCTGCTGATAAGCCCGGGGGTGCCAGCCTGGCTTCCTGTGGGTGGCCACGGCCCCGCTGGAGGCACCCGGGATGTTCCCCTTGGGCTGCGGGTCTGGCTCCAGCCCTGACCTCAGCCTGCTGCGGCTTCCTGGAGAGCTGCAGGGGCAGGGACAGGGACAGGGACAGGGACAGGGACGGGGACGGGCGGGAGGGCTCGGGGACGGGCAGGAGGCTCCTGTACCTGCTGTTCCAGGGCCCTCCCTGCCGAGGGGCATCGGGGTCTGTCCCCATGTCCTCACCCACGTCCCCCCCAGCTGCCATGGACGACATCTTCACGCAGTGCCGGGAGGGCAACGCGGTGGCCGTGCGGCTGTGGCTGGACAACACCGAGAACGACCTCAACCAGGGGTGAGTGAGGGGGCGCGCGGGGCTGGGGGCTCTGCGGGGCGTTGGTTTCCGCTGTCCCCACGGAAAGGCAGGGGCAGATGGCAGGACGCAGCTCCTCCCCGCTGCAGGAAGTTACCGCATCGCTGAGGCACGAGGCCAAACATCCTCTGGCCACTTCCTCAGGGCCCGGCCGGGATCAGCTGGGATGGGGCTGCCTCCCCCGTCCCTGTGGTGGCGGCTGTGTCCCCTGACCTTGTCCTCGTGTCCCCGTCCCCTCTCAGGGGAGCACCGTGGCACACGTGTGGGCACACAGCTGGGCTGACAGTTGTGAGGGCCACTCTGCGTGCCCAGGGCTCTGCTCCCCACAGCCCGTTTGAGGGTCCCACAGCACCGTGGGGTCCAGCACTGCTCACAGCCATTCAGGAGCACGTTTGGGCCAGGCTTGGGGCTCGGAGCATCTGCCTGCAGTGTGTGAGGTGGCGCAGGGTGACCCTGCACCCTGACCCCAGCCAGGCCACGGCCCTGGCATTCCGCACAGGCTCCAGACAAATGGCCTCCCTTGCTCAGGCCTCCCTGCCCCTCCTGGGGGTCCCAGGCACGTGGAGCTCTCCCAGACCCACAGAAGTGCCCAAGGAGGTGTTCTGTGCTGGGCCGCCCCTGCCTGCAGGGCCATGGTGGGGACAAATGGGGTCTGCTGTGCCAGGGGGCTGGAGCGGCGCTGGGACCGGGGGGAGCTGGGCTGGAGGGGAGCCGGGGCTGCAGCAGCCCCTCTGCCAGTTCCTGATCTCCATTTAAGGCCTGGCTGCCACCTCCTCCCTTACTTGGCCATGGAGTGGGGGGATGGGGACAGGATCCAGCTGTGATTCAGCCTTGGAGGAGACAGGATTTGGCCTGGGCTGGTGGGGCCCTGGTGGGGGTGGGAGCGGGATGGATGTTCAGCCCGGTCCCTCGGTCCTGCCGCTGGTGTTGTGAGAATGATGCCAGGGATGCCCGGGGCTACAGGGGGCCACAGCTGAGCAGAGCCCCCGCTGCCCTGCAGGGACGACCATGGGTTCAGCCCCCTGCACTGGGCGTGCCGCGAGGGCCGCTCCAACGTGGTGGACATGCTCATCATGCGCGGGGCCCGCATCAACGTCATGAACCGCGGCGACGACACGCCGCTGCACCTGGCCGCCAGCCACGGCCACCGTGACATCGTGCAGAAGGTACCCGGCCCCCGCGCCAGCCCCTGCCCCGACCCAGCCCCGAGCAGCCCCCCACACCAGCCTCGAGGGCCTCGCTCCCCTGGCCACTGCCAGGAGCACCCCTGAGCTCCCCACTGCTCACAAATCCCGCAAATCCCTCTGAGCCCCGCGTCAGTTCAGCCCCCTCCCTACAGCGCCCAGTGTGCTGCCCCTGCGTCCCCCAAGGAGGATGAGGGCTGTCCTGAGCTCATGGGGACAGTCCTGGGCTCACAGGGGCTGTCCCGTGTCCCCAGCTGATGCAGTTCAAGGCAGACATCAATGCAGTGAACGAGCACGGGAACACGCCGCTGCACTATGCCTGCTTCTGGGGACACGAGCAGGTGGCTGAGGTGAGTGGGAGCCCGGGCAGGGTGGGAGGGGCACTGAGGGGACATCACAAACCACAGTCCTTGCTGCCTGCTCCCACAGGACCTGGTGGGCAGCGGGGCCCTGGTCAGCATTGCTAACAAATATGGTGAGACCCCCACAGACAAGGCCAAGACGCCACTGCGAGAGATCCTGAAAGGTACGAGGGTCTCTCAGGAGCCCCCAGCTGACACAGCCTCCAGCCAGCCACAGCAGGCTCGGGGTGCCACCCTCCTCCTCCTGCTCCCTCTGCAGAGCGTGCTGAGAAGCTGGGCCAGAGCCTCACCAAGATCCCCTACAAGGACACGTTCTGGAAGGGCACAACCCGCACCCGGCCCAGTAAGGACTGGGGGTCCCTTTGGGGGTGCCATGGGTCCCCTGTGCCCTGCTGGCACTGCCTCCGGGATCCAGCAGCCAGAGGCATCATCCCCCTTCCACTGCAGGGAACGGGACCCTGAACAAACTCGCTGGGATTGACTTCAAACAGCTGAGCCTGAGCCACAAACTGAACGAGAACCACTCGGGAGAGGTAGGTCCCTCTCAGCCCCAGTGGGTTCTGTGCCCATGCAGACGCCGTGTCCTGGCCCTGCTGGGCACGGCCGTTCTGCAGTGCCATGGCCAGGTGCAGGGAGGGAGCTCCTCCGCTGCTCAAGGGGCTCCTTTCTCGTTGTGCACCCTTGGTCCCGTGGGCTCCACACAGGGGCCTGGGCATGCTGGGGCTTCTGCACCCTTTTCAGTGCCCGTGTCTGCTCCTCCCCCAGCTGTGGAAGGGGCGCTGGCAGGGCAATGACATCGTAATCAAGATGCTGAGGATCCGGGACTGGACGACGCGGAAGAGCCGGGACTTCAACGAGGAGTACCCAAAACTGCGGTGAGCGCTGCTCGTGCCTGGAGCCACCCCGGAATGTGCTGGGATCCGCACCAGCCCCTGGCCAGGGCAGCTGCCAGAGTATGGGGCAGGCATACCCAGCTCTGTGGGGCCAGGAACGCTCCAGGGTGGTGGCCAAGGGCTGGGAGGCTCTGGGGGATGGCAGAGGGAAACGAGGGGATGCAGGGAGCCTCTTCCCGTTCTTAGGGCTGTCACTTGTCTTGCAGGATCTTTTCCCACCCCAACGTGCTGCCGGTGCTGGGTGCCTGCCAGGCCCCTCCAGCTCCCCACCCCATTGTCATCAGCCACTGGATGCCCTACGGCTCCCTGTACAACGTCCTGCACGAGGGAACCAGTGAGTGCTGGGGGACGGCTTGTTTGGGGGCAGCCTCTCCAGCCACAGCCCTGGCTGGGCTTGGGCTGGGCTGACCCCGTCCCCCCCGTTCCCAGATTTTGTGGTGGACCAGATGCAGGCGGTGAAGTTCGCCTTCGACATCGCGCGGGGCATGGCCTTCCTGCACACGCTGGAGCCCCTCATCCCGCGGCACCACCTCAACAGCCGCAGCGTCATGGTGAGAGCGCGGCCCCTCGCCCAGCCGGGGGCTCTCGGGGCTGGGGGCTCCTGCTGACCCCTGCTGCCGTCCCCAGATCGACGAGGACATGACGGCACGCATCAGCATGGCCGACGTCAAGTTCTCCTTCCAGTGCCCGGGGCGGATGTACGCCCCGGCCTGGGTGGCTCCCGAAGGTGAGTGCCCCGTTCCCAGCCCCCCGAGCCCCCTGAGCCCCCAGCCCCACTCAGCCCCCAGCCATCCCCAGCCCTGCAGAAGAAGCCAGAGGAGATCAACCGGCGCTCGGCTGACATGTGGAGCTTTGCTGTGCTGCTGTGGGAGCTGGTGACACGTGAGGTGCCCTTCGCCGACCTGTCCAACATGGAGATCGGCATGAAGGTGAGGGCGTGCGGGGATAGCAGCAGAGGAACTCATTTGGGTCAGTTAGGGGAGCAGTTCTGGTCACTGAGGGTGGTAAGGCCTTGGCACAGGCTGCCCAGAGAACTCTGGCTGCTCCATCCCTGTGAGTGTTCAGGCCAGGCTGGAGGGGGTGTGCAAGCACCCGGCCAAGTGGAAGGTGTCCCTGCCTGTGGGGGCAGGGCCCCAGCCCTGACTCTGGCTCCTCCTCTGGCCTGCAGGTAGCACTGGAGGGGCTGCGTCCCACCATCCCCCCCGGCATCTCCCCCCACATCTGCAAACTGATGAAGATCTGCATGAACGAGGACCCGGCCAAGCGCCCCAAGTTCGACATGATCGTGCCCATCCTGGAGAAGATGCAGGAGAAGTAGAGAGGAGGCGCCTGCCCCCTCCAGTGCTGCCTTGCGCCCCCCGCCACCCCCAAGTGCCTTTAGCCCCAGATTCAGGGGGAGCAGAGGACACCCCTCACCCTGAGCCAGCCACGGACACACGGTACAGATGGCACTGCCTGCGCTGGAGCTCTGCAGGCCCCGGCCCCCTGCCCGGGGCAGCCCCCCCAGCCCGGGGCAGCCCCCAGCCCAGGGCAGCCCCCCCAACCCAGAGCAACCCCCAGCCCAGAGCAACCCCCAGCCCGGGGCAGCCCCCCCAGCCCGGGGCACGGCGTGTGGCCTGGCCCTGCTGCAAGGGACGGGGCTGTGGGGCCCCCTGTCCCCCTCGCTGGGCAAAGCTTGACCCAGGACTCAGCCCCCCAAGGCTGGGGGGCAAGGGGCAGCCCAGGAGAGGCCACCTGTGGTGCCCAGCACTGCCCCTGCTTCGCGCTTCACTGGCCACTTCCCTCTGGCCCCAGAATGGCCTCTGGCAACCCAATAAACCTTTGGTATGGAACCAGCTGCTGCAGTACAGGGTGGGGAATGGGGGAGCTGGGGGTGAGGGGCTGGAGTGACTGGGGGCTGGGACTCACAGGGGGTGTCCAGGACTGAGGGTGGCGTTGGATTGATGTGGCGCTGCCTTCCAGCCCACAGGGCACCAATCACCACCCACAAAAACCTGTGGCACCCAGCACAGGAAGGATAGATGGGCACAGGGCCCCTCAGGAGCCACTTGCTGCAGGAGGGGTGGGCTCAGGTCCCGTCCCTGGCTCCATTTGCAGTGCAGCCCCCAGGGCATTTCCTTGGGAGGCAAGGGGCAGTTCAGGGAAGGAGGAGGAGTGCTGGGCAGTTCCTGTCCCCTCAGCCCACTCTTCTCCAGCCCTGTTGGGAGCACGGAGCCCCCTGTGACGGGCAGAGGGGGGTGAGCGTGTGGAGGAGCAGGGCCAGCACTGGTGGGCGCAGGCACAGGAGCAAGGCTGCCTTCCCTCCAAACCCTGCGAGGTGTTTAATGGCACCGACACGACCCCTGCACCCTGCCCACGCTCCCCGAGCTCTACGTGAAGTAGTGTGGCTTCTTCACGTTGATGCCGTACTCGGCCAGCGCCGGCGTCAGGTCCTCCATGGTCAGCGTGTACTTCTTGTCCTGGAGACACGGGGCAGGGGTCACAGCAGGGAAAGCCGGGGCTGTGGGACCCCCAGGGCACATGGACAGGCGTGTCCCCCTCCCAGAGGAGCTGCTGGGCAGCACTGGGGCATTTGGGAATCCCCACGTCCTGTTATCCCGTGCCCTCAGACGTCCCCAAATCCCATTGGCCTTGCGGAGCCCCTGCACCCCAGACATGGCACTGGGAGGGTCCCGGGACCCCTCACTCCAGCTCCTCCCCAAGCCCAGAGCTGCAGCCACTGCTGGGCTGGGGGGCACCAAAGTGTGCCCACCAGCTCTGTGCCCCCCTTGTGTCCCCGCCAGCCCCTGCCCGCCTGCAGGGCCGCACCGTGCTCCTGCCCTGGGGGGCTGCAGGCTCAGCCCCGTGCCAGGAGGGCTCCCCGCCTGCCCCGGTGCCCTCACCTTGCTCTTGCTGCGGGAGCTGCCCGAGGCCGTGCCCTTCATCTTGCAGTGCTGCAGCGCGTCGTTGGCGATGTCCGAGATGAACTTCTGCGCCGCCAGCGAGATCAGGCGGATTCTGCAGGACAGGGCCGGTGTCGGCGGGGCGGCGGGACCCGCGGGCCCCTCTGCCGGAGGGTGAACCCCCGCGGGGCTCCTGGACCCCCCCGCCCCGCGGCCACTCACATGCGGGGGTCCGAGGCCTCAAACCCCGCCCGGTTCAGGTAATACCCCGTGACGGCATCCGGGATCTGCGGAGGGAAGAGTTGGAACTGCTCCAGGGCGCCGCGGGAGCGCTTCCACGGAGCCGCCCCGTGCCCCGGCACCACGGGACTGCCCGCTGTCCCGGCACCCCGGGACCGGCCCCGTGCCCCGTCCCGTCCCTCAGGAGTCGCGCTGTGTCGGTACCGTGGGCGTGTAGTCCTCCAGCTGCATGAGGAAGTCCACGAGCGGCGTGGTGGACACCACGGGCTTCACGTCGCCGTTGGCCGCGGGCGGCACGTACACGCCGTTGGACATGGCCCCGTCCGGGGGGGCGGCCACGGCCGCGGACACCGGCACTGCGGGACAGCACGGTCAGCGCCGGGAGCCCCGCCGGCACCGGCAGTGCGGGACAGCACGGTCAGCGCCGGGAGCCCCGCCGGTACCGGCACTGCGGGACAGCACGGTCTGCGCCGGGAGCCCCACCGGCACCGGCACTGCGGGACAGCACGGTCAGCACCGGGAGCCCCGCCGGTACCGGCACCGGCACTGCGGGACAGCACGGTCTGCGCCGGGAGCCCCGCCGGCACCGGCACAGCACGCTCAGCGGCACCCGGACGCCCGCGCCACCGGACGCCGCTCCCCGGCCAGAGCGGCTCGGGGCGGCCCGCGGGGCACCCGCGCCCGCGGCCCATCCCCCGCCGGCCCCACCGCGACTCACCGGGCCCCCTCGCGCCGGCCGCACAGCCCTCGGAGGCCCGCGCCGCGCCGCCCCCCGCAGCCGGCGCCGCCCCGGGCCCGGCGCTGCCCACGGCGGCCGGGCTGGGCTTGCTGCCCTCGGCGGGGCCTGGCGGGGCCGCCGGGGCGGCGAGCGCGGGGTCGGGATCGGCGCTGCCGCTCATGGTCCCGGCACCAGCCTCCGCTCCGCGCCTGCGCGCGCCCACGCGCTCGATTGGCCCCGCGGCCCCTCCGCCCCACCCCTCCCGCCAGCCCATTGGCTCTGTCGGGCCCCCGCCCCGCCCCCATTGGTCCCGCCCTCCGACGTTCTCGGCCCCGCACGCCCCCTGGCGGAGGCGCGGACACAAATAGAGACGGCGGGCGGGGCTTGGCGTGTTTATTGCCCCGCCCCGCCCCCGGTTCCGCGGCCTTCGCCGTCCGGTGGCGTTCGGTTCCGTTGTCCGGTGCCGCTGTCCGGTCCGGTGCCGCTGTCCGGCCACGGCGGCCTGCTCAGCGCGGCCCCAGCGCCCGCAGCAGGCGCGGGAAGTTGGGGGTGCCCCAGCCGGTGACCGGGTCCCAGGCGGGGGTGGCGCAGAAGCCCTGGCCCTGCACGGTGCCGTCCAGGCAGGACAGGTGGCAGCCCTGGATCACCTGCGGGGACAGCCTCAGTGCGGGGGCTCCGAGTCTTGGGACAGAGACCTCCGGAGCCCAGGATCCCCACAGAGCCCTGGGACAGGGACCCCAGGGCACAGGGACCACCCGGGACAGCGGTACCATGGGCACAGGGACCCTGCCTGCAGTACCCGGGAACCAGGGACAGCCGTCCCTGCCATCCCTGAGACGGGAATCCCAGGGACAGGGGCCCCAGACATCTGACACGGGGACCCGCACAACGCCCCCCACGGCACAGGGTCCCCTCGGGACACGGGCAATGTGGAACAGCATGCTCAGCTGCACCCTGGCACCTCTGCAGCCCCTGGACGCTGCTGCCCCGGCCACACGAGGGGACCTGACCCACCAAGCTCACAGGAGCCCATGGACACCCCTCCCATGGGAAGGCCACGGGGACTCTGTCCTGCCCCAGGCACAGCTCTGGGAGCAGGAGCCCCAGGACAGCCCCTGGAGCACACACAGCCTTCCTAGCCCCACGGACAGGCCCGCCCCAGGCCTCAGCCCCACACGTCAGGACACCCAAGCAGAGCCCCTCCCTGCCCCACTCACATCGTAGAAGGCATCACCGAGCCCTTGTTTCTGCAGCTGGTAGAGCGCCGGGTTAAGGAAGCCGAGGGGCGGCAGCCCCCGCTGCAGGCGCCGGTCGTTGATCAGTGCCACCATGCCTGCCACCACCGGCGTGGACGCCTGCGTGGGCACAACTCCCCTCAGCCCAGGCCTGCCATGCTGAGGGCAGCGGGGACGGGCTCCTTACCGAGGTGCCCCAGACCCAGGGCAGCGGGGACGGGCTCCTTACCGAGGTGCCCGAGACCCAGGGCAGCGGGATGCGGTTTGTCACCACCCAGTAGTTGTCGGAGAGCGCGGCCAGGTCGGGGTAGGCGCGGCCGCTGCTGTTGTAGTAGGAGCTGGGGGGCAGCTTGGAGGCTGAGCGCAGGAAACGCCCGACAGCAGCGGCCTGGGGATGGCACAGCCCGTGGGCATCCCCACTGCCCACTGTGCCCACTGCCCCGTCCCCCCAGCGCTACCCCTGCAGCCCCGGGCTGGCAGCACAGGGGTCCCTACCTGGTACTCAGGCATGGGGAAGACGTTGCTGAAGCCGCCCCCGCTGATGTAATCCGTCACCTCCTCTGTCACCAGGAAGGGGTTCTTGAAGGACGTGCCACCCACCGTGGTGACGTAGGGGCTGGGGAAACGGGGACACTGCAGGTGGGCACACGGCGGCCTGGGCCTCAGCAGCCACCAAGAGCCCCCTCTGGTACCAAAACCTCGCCCCACAAACCCAACCAGCCCCTGGAGCTGCACAGGCTGCACCTCTGGGGTCTGTAAGAAGTTGGTGACGACCCCAGGTGATCTTGGAGGGCTCAGACCCTGTGGGGCTGGGGCTAGCCGTGCCCCATGGGGCTGGCTGTGCTCCCACGGGGCTGGGCTGGCCGTGTCCCCGTGGGGCTGGGGGTGGCTGTGCTCCCATGGGGCTGGGGCTGGCCGTGTCCCCGTGGGGCTGGGGCTGGCTGTGCCCCCACTGGACTGGGGCTGGCCGTGTCGTGTGGGGCTGGGGCTGGCCGTGTCCCCGTGGGGCTGGGGCTGGCCGTGCCCCGTGGGGCTGGGGCTGGCTGTGCCCCCACAGGACTGGGGCTGGCTGTGCTCCCATGGGGCTGGGGCTGGCCGTGTCCCATGGAGCTGGGGCTGGCTGTGCCCCCACAGGACTGGGGCTGGCCGTGTCCCCGTGGGGCTGGGGCTGGCCGTGCCCCGTGGGGCTGGGGCTGGCTGTGCCCCCACAGGACTGGGGCTGGCTGTGCCCCACGGGGCTGGGGCTGGCTGTGCCCCCACAGGACTGGGGCTGGCTGTGCTCCCATGGGGCTGGGGCTGGCTGTGCCCCACGGGGCTGGGGCTGGCTGTGCCCCGGGGGCTGCACCGACCCCTGGCACCCACCTGGAGGCCGGGAAGCTGGGCCGGAACGTGTGGTTCCCGCTGTGCTCCCGCCGGCAGCCAG